CTTGGTGGGCGTGCGGCCAGACTCCTGGGGTGCGCCGCTGCCCTGCCCCGAGCTCAGAGACCTAATGTACGAAAGCCAACTGGAGCCAACGGCGCTGCCCTTTGGGGCCAGCCGGCCCTCTGCTTACGGCCGAATGCCAAACCTGAGCCGGTGCGCGCCGCGCGCCGTGTTGGGGGTTGTTTGCCTGGCAAGCAGCGGCTCATGGTGCAGCGAGCCGCCGTTGGGCGTGGCAGGGCGGTCGGCCGGCAGGCGGGCCGCCAGTCAACGCGTCGCCTTGCGCGGCCCGCGACGCCTCCATTCCGCCCGCTAACCCACTGCCCCGCCCTTCCCTCGGTGTCCGTCCCTCCCACAATGAGGACCCAACACGCTGCCGACCCAACAGCACCCTCAAACCTATTTCCCACGCAACATAGGTGCAGCCATCTCCTCACCCTCACACTCCACGGCGTCGCCTTTGACCGAGACATGGTGGCCCACCTGTCAGCCCACTGCTCCAAGCTGCAGCGACTCTCCCTGCACGACAGCGCCGCCGCCGCCGCCGCCGCCGCGCGGGCGTCGCAGGCCCCCCGCGCCCGCGCAGTCAACTGGGCGCCGCTCGCCGCGCTGCCCTGCCTCAGCTCCCTCGACCTGCTAGGCGCCCCCGCGCACGCGGCCGGGGCCGCGGCCGCGCTCGCGGGCGCGCGGGCGCGGCTCAAGCACCTGCGGCTCGAGGCGCGGGGCGTCGCCGAGGAGGATGCGGACGCCATCACGCGCGGCGCGTGCGCGCTGCCGGTCCTGTCTTGGCTGTCGCTGAGCCTGTTGATCCAGGTGCGCCGCCCTTTCAAGCCAGACGACCCCGAGGATGACCCCGCCTGCCGCCTGCGCGCGCGGCTGCTGCGGGGGCTGCCGCACACGGCTATGGATCTGGACCTCTCCACTTGGCTTGGCAACTGGGAGGGGAGGGAGGAAGGCTGGGCGGAGTGACGTGACGGGCGGGGAGCGCAGGCGCCAGGCGGCCTTTTGCGGCGGCCGTGCGCGGGCAGCGCGGGCGCGGTGGCACGCGCCGATGCTTTGCAGGGCGGGGCGGCGTTTGAGGCAGCTTTGGTGCATGCTCTGCGGGTGATACAGAGCCGTTCATCAGCAGATCTGGCACGCACCCTGCTCCCAAACATGCGTGTATCTGCCTGTACCCTTGCACATAAACACCCGTCTGTACCCTTGCACATACAAATCCGCCTGTACCCTTGTACATATGCATCTGCCTGTCAAATACATCCCAAAGGCCGGACAGGCCGCTTAGCATCCATGCTCACCCAGCGCAGCGCGTTACACGTGCATGCACGCGGGGCTCAGCCGCAGTGTGCGAGCACGCTGGCGCGTAGACCAGGATACGGGCGTGTCTGCAGTCTCCGGCCGCTTGTCTGTTGATACACAAACTCCTAGCACGCAGGGCACGTAGGGTATGTAATCTACTTGGCTGAGCCGCCAACACGGCAACGAAATCAACAAAGTGGCTGCTTAGTGACCAAGTTCAAGCAATGGGTGTTGTGAAGGAAGGGCGTGGTGCACGCAAGGCTGAGGGGCAGGCGAGGGTGGATGCATGGCGAGCAACAGTGACTGGGGTCTCAAGGTAGACAGATCAGCACCGGCGACATCGCGTCTCTCGTGGGACAGAGTGCAAAATGAAAGCCTGGCAACTTGCTTGCCGATTAGAAAGGATCCATATGCCAGGGGAGTATGCAAGGGGCCCAGCTGGGCTCTACACAATTTGACTGTGCGTTTGACAAAGGGATGCGCTGTCACACGCGTGTTGAGTGCCGACTTGACGGCAGCTCCTTCGTTCACGCGTGGCTTGTTGGAGGGGGTTCAAACGTTCTGTGCAATGGGCGCGGCCACGCAGCTGGTCACCAGCCTTGACCCGCGAAAGGATTTGTGCCACCACCAACCGGCAGGGTGTACGTGATCAAACTCAACAGCAACCATCGGGACACTGCAGTCCACAGCCCTCAGAGGGCGGAGCAGCGCCTTCACGGCATGGAGCGCAAGTCGGCTCATCCTCATCCGCCGAAGCACCCGTACAGCGGGCAGCCGGGCGGCGGCGCCGCGCCCTTCAGATGTCCGCTTCTCAGTTTCCTTTGGCCAGCTCCCCCAGCTTTGCCTCCACAATGTCTACCAGCTCCGGCTGAGAGGTGGATAGGAAGTGGCCCTTGTCGTCAAACCTGGGCAAATTGCGAGATTGGAGCGGTGAGCAGGAGATGCAGGCCGGTCACCTTACCGGCGCCTTGGTGCGATAGTTGAGGTGGCCAAGTGCAGAAACTCCCAGCTGGGTTGCCAGCAAGGCTGCATTTGTGCGGCACCGAGCACCTGTCACACAGCCATACCTGTAAAAAGTCGATCCCAGGGCGTCGGCGGCCTCCTGCTGGGCGGCAAAGGGGACCAATAAGTCGTCCCTGCTGCCAAGCTGGATTATGAAGCCGGCGTTGGCCCGGATGGCGGCCCAGTCCCAGGGTGTGTCAAAGTACCCGCTCCTGGCCTCATGTGAGTTGCCCAAGTCATTTGAATACGCCGCCACCAGGATCAGGCCTGCGACGGCCGGCCAGGCAAGGCAGGGGATGCCAGAATCTTGGGCCCTGCGGCGCGCGCTGTTCCTGGCAGGCGTCTGCTCACCAATTGCTTGCAAGCACCGGCCCCCTGGCTTGTCATTTCTGCTGGTGCAATGCAGCTTCGTCATAACTTGCTCAGCAGCACGCGCACGCAAGCAGCGGCAGGAGGCTCGCAATCAAGGGTTAATGGCACGCGGTATACAAAAGACTGGGAAATTCAGAATGTGAAGGGGCTCCCAGAGCAGGTGGGGCGTGGGTTCGCAGCCTGAAAAACCTTGGTGGCATTGCGCAGCTAGCTTTGGATCATCACAAGGGATGGAGGAGGGCAGCCCCACCTGCCACCCGGTGGGTCTCTGCATAGCGCATGGCGGCGAGGGCGCCGCTGGAGTGGCCCACGACGATCGTGTCTGGCCCCACCCTCAGTGTGTCCTCCAGGAATGGCAGCCAGGTCTGTTTGGGGCCGCGACAGCGGCACCGGCAGTTGTGAGGCAGGTGGGTGCAGTGCAAACCTCAACGCCTCGAAAAAGGGCGCACCGCCCGAGGGAGAACATCACAGTGACATCACCTCAAGTGAGCGGCCCTGGAGTTCATACTGGTATTACTAAGTGGTGATTCATCGCCACAGGAGACTCACAGATGCCGGTGCCATGAAGGGGTCGGGCATGTTCCTGGGAAGGCATGAGGTTGGGCAAGCACACGGCCATAAGAGGCGGAGCATGGTAGCAAAAGCGCGGTGCGGCGGAGGTCAAAGTGAAGGGGGGCGCGGCGCGGCTGACGACAGCGGCGCGCTGTGGCGGGGAGCGCTGACCGCTGTCCAGCAGCCTGCTGCCAGCAGGCTGCCCACCAGTGGTGGGGTGAGCGCTGATCTGCACCTGAGGACGACATTGATGCCCGGGAAGTCGGTGTTGAGGCGCTGCTTGAGGCTCGAGTACCTGGGTGGTGTACAGAGTCAGCGGACGAGTAGGCTTGCCAGAGGGCGCGTGTGGACGGCGCGCATTGCATGCATTTCGGAGCAGTTGACAGGCGGAAAATCGCGTGCAAATCCCAGCAGCATTTGATTACTCAGCAGGTGACGCCCCAGCAGTTGCACCAGCAAGCCTTTGTAGAATATGCGTGCAGATGCGGGGCATGCGCTGCCTTGGGGGAAAATGACCATCACGAGTCGCATCAGTCAACGCGCTGGCCCTCTCACCAGAACACGTGATCCACCGAAACTGCGCCCATACCCGGCACGATGACCACCCGCACGGCGCTCGCAGGGAAGGCCGTTAGCATTAGGGCGGCACTGCGCATGCAAGCGCGGCATCGTGGGGCCGAGGTCGGAGCAGCGCGGTGTGACAACAGGGGTCGCTCGCAGGGCATTGCCACTTGAGCAGTCCTCACCAGAAAAATGCCACAGCGGTCCGGCCCTTGAGCCACAGAACGCGAGCTTTATTATACATGATTTTTGTGGTTATTGAGCTGCGTCGCCCAGTTCTAAGTGTCGTTGTCGGGATCGGGTGGGGTTGCCTGGAGCTCAATCACAGACGTTCTCTGCGGAACAAGCGTTCGCGATGAATGCAATCGCTTCACACGAATAGGTATCGTGCGACACTTGATTACTGCAGTGTCACACGTTGGCCTCCTCGGACTCCGTCGTGCGACCGAGGTTGGCAACCGCCGCAAGTGTTTTGGGTGCGTCACAACATTCATCCTAGTCGCTGACCCACACAACACAACTAGCTGCCTAGCCTTATCAATCTTCTGCCGCTGTGATATGGCGGAGCATGTCGGCACACTCGTCCTGCCCCTTGCTTCCAAGTCCAATCCCATGAGCCTTGGATGCCTTCAGACGCGGGCGACCGCGGGCGGGGCGCTGTTACAGCACAAATCCTCAACCAAATTTCGTTCAAGTCGCCCCGAACCAACCGAAATGGTGATACAATCATTCCATCTGATGCAGACAAGTTGCATTTTTTTTTCAAATTTTCATGGGTGTGGCAGCACATACTAAAGTGCCACAAAGCATTAACTTGAAAAGCTTTGAACACGACAGCGCGCAACATTTGCACACCAAAATTGTGTTGATAGGGGAGCATGGCAGCCAGCTGCTTGTGGCCCCACCAGAAAGCAGCATCGTACCACATTATCAAGGGGTCCAAGGGTCCCCGCACACTGATCCAGGTAATCGTGTTTGGTGCTGCAAGGTAAGAGAGTGATGTTCCAGAAGGGTCGTGTGTTGGAGCAAGCAACAAAGTGCATCTATGTGCTCAAGCTGCTACACATGTGTATGCAACTTTGGCATATATCTAGGCAATAAAGTCTCCATGAAGAATCACAGGTTCACCAGGTGCACAACCTGGAACCTCAAAAGTCGATACTACCCGTGAAAGCAGAATGCGCAGCCACGTCCAAACAGCCACAACCTCAGCAAATCATCGCAAGGGCCACTAGCAGGATCGCTGCGCCCACGCCATGCATCAGATGCAAATGAGGGTTGATAATGGAGCCAGCTCAAGTGGGCTGCATCCTGCAACTAGAAGTCAGCCTCGTCGATTTAACACTAGTTTAGGGTTTAACACTCGGCTCAGTCTTGCTGGATGGCCTGTTTGGCAACTTGTTTTTTTTCACCTGATATTCGCAGTCAATCAGTGTATCCCACCGCCCGCAGCTTGTCCTCAATGATGCCAGCTATCTCAGGCTGCTCCTGATAAAGAAAGTGGTTCTTACCGTTGAACCTGCGTTGTGGGTCAGCAAGGCCGCGCATGAGGCGCATTGATGTAGCCCACCGTGAAGAACAGGGACGACACATCCAGGAAAAACACGTCAGGGGCAGTGCGCTGCACGGGCTCATCACTTCCTGGTCAGGGCGCGGCTCCCTTCCTGGGACTCACACATGAAACGTCGACGAGAGGGCCCCAGCAACCCTCTGCTGCTCGGCAAATGGCAGCAGGAAGTCGTCCCTGCTGCCCAGCTGGATGATGAAACCCGCGTTGGCCCGGATAGCGGGCCAGTCCCAGGGGGTATCAAAGTACCCGCTCTTGGCCTCAAACGAGAGGCCCAGGTCGCTGGCCCCCGCCGCCACGAGGACCAGGCCTGGGAGGTGTTGCCAAGAGAAGGTGGGGAGCGAGGGCACGCTCAAGCACTGCCAGCGGCTTGTGGCTCAGCGATGCATGCAAAGTGTCGACAGAGTCAGGGACCCTTGGTCTATCTAGCTCGGAAATGATCACTCAAGCCGCAGCTCGTGAGGAAGTTGCGAGGCCCCTTCTCTGCTGGCTTGCCTGCAACCTTGTGGGTCTCTGCGTAGCGCATGGCGGCGCATGCGCCGCTGGAGTGGCCAACAATCACCGTGTCTGGCCCCACCCTCAATTCGTTCTCCATGAACGGTAGCCACAGCTGAAGCGCACGTGGATGGTGGGGGACTCATGTGGTAAGGCTCGGCGCAGGCTAGACCTACATCTGCGACGCTGGGTCGTTCGCCCCAGCAGTCAGACCCTTTCGGCCACCCGAACAAACCCGGGCCACACACTACTGAAGAAGAAGTGTAGCCTAGGCGCTGCCCGCGCGCTGACCCCTTGGCTGTTGCAGAGAACCAACAAATGCGCCTGTCTCACCTGCTTCCTGGCGGCCGGGTCAGGGAAGTCCCTGCAGGGCCCCGGGGTGGGCAAGCACAAAGCTGGCTGTCGAGTTGAAGGGCCAGAAGATGGCAAGCAACAGGCTGCAGGCTCGCGCGGGGCGTCGGGGCTTGCAATGCTGCGCTGCATCAAGCTTCCCTCGGAGCAACCTTCTATAGACTGGCAGACGAACAAACCTCAGGGTGCACTGGACGCGTTGCAAAGCGCTGAGGCGCTTAGCCAGGTCTGAATACCTGCGAGGCCATTTGCAGAAAAAGAAAGGCAGCTGCAGGCAGGGTGGCATGCCACGTGCTGACCAGCACCCAGATTACGGCCGACATGGTTAATGAATTTGCTGGAATTGGCTTTGTTGTTGGATGAGCGGCGTGGATTGACCATTGTGAGTATGTTTTCTCAGGGCTTACCAGAAGGTGTTGTTCATTGAAGCCACCCCCATTGCAGGAGCGATGACGACGCGCACGGTGGTGAAATTGCTTGCAGTGGTGGCAGTGCTTGCATTAGCGCTGCTAAGGTTGCCCAGAGCTATGTCACCATATGCCTGTCACAGCAGCTGCCTGGCACTACCATTGTCCGCTGCCCGGTGCCCGCTGCCGGCGGCAGTGACGGCTGCGGATAAAGATGTCGCAAAACTGGCTGCCTTGTCCGTAACCACGAATGACCTAGCCGCCCGCACTGTGGTTGTACTGGAAAGGACACAGGGATTCAATCAACAGAAAATTCTTGCCTATCGCAGCCCCTGTCGGCCCCATCCTGACGCACACAGATCAACACGCATACGCACATCAAACCACCGCCTGGCTGTTGCAGCCGCTGCTCACCACAGAAGGACCGCGCAGACAGCGAAGAGGGTCCTGAAGCTATTACATGGACGAAAATCCATCATTGATCGCCCGAACAGAACTGCGAGCCAACACGAGCGTTGGCAGAGTCGCCCCCAGCGCGGATCAGCATGCCAGACGGGACGATGGCTTGCAATATTCTTGTCAATTTTATTACGCGTGCGTTTTAAACAAGCAAGTGCAAGGCAGACGACATGCCGCATGATGCGGGTGCCCAAGTGCTGATGCCAATTCCGGTATGGTGCATCCTGTGACAGCGGTCTGCTGGCAGGGAGCTCATGCTCGTTGCGCGCAATTGCACTTCCTTCCTTGTTTCTTGAAGTGTTGTGTGGGGTCTGTTGGGACCTGCCATTGAGCTATGGGCCAGCAGAGACCCGAGATGTACTGGTCGAAGCTTCAGAGGATTGCAACATTCTGGTGCTGGCTGTAACTTATGATAACTTGTTCAGTGTGCAAGCGTCTGGCTGGTCACCGCAGCTGGATGCCTGGCAAATGTATTGTCTGACAGGTGAGCCTGGCCGCACCCATATGGTGATGGCTCATGGGATTTGCCCGTCAGTAGTTGGCAAGTTGGCTCAGGTCATTTCCTTGCCATAGGCAGAATAGCAAGTAGTGACTGCCCTGATCATTTCTTGAAGCTCATGTGCAGCCTTTCTGCCTGTTTGAGTATCTCCCCGCCCACGGTTTGTCGCGCCCCGCCAAGCAAGGAGGTTGTGCTGCGGCGGTGCGGGTTGGTTCGACGCTTCAGTGGCCGTGATTGGCGTGTATACCTTTGCCCTTGTGTCCTGTGAAATCATACGGGGACTATAGACATCTCTGTCAGGCCACACACCTGCTTGTTATACCAGAGGCCCGACGAAGTGGTTTCGGAGGCAGCAGGTGCATCCCGTATTCGGGCCAGCGGCAAACTGTGCTTAGGACCTATCAATTCACCGCGAAAAATCAGAATTGGCATCCGCATTTTTGCCTGCACCTGCGTCGCAAACACACAGGAGGGCTACACCAAGACCGCGACACACCGTGCACAACGTTCTGTGTGTCCTGCTTGTGTGCACGCGCTCGACACTTGAATTGGTGCAGATTCACAGCGAGTCCCTTCAGTGGGGGCGAAGCTCGTCAAAGGCGCCATGCAGCTCCATCATCAACCCTGCAGCAGGGCTCGTAGCAGCCCAGCGGGGTCGCACAGGCAGCGCGTAGTTATACCACAGCCTGTGATACGACCTGCTGCAAGTCACGCAGCGGTTTCGCTGCGGCCGCGGCGGGTGGCGGCGCCGGTTGCAGCGCCTCGTGACACGCCTTCATCCGCATCTGGCGACGGCATCAATCTCAAGTGCGCAGGGCTGCTGAACACTTCATGATGGCACGCCTGTACAGCTCGCTACAGCTGGTAGCTGTTGGGGCGGCATGCTCGCTTGGGGGGCATGGCTTCGGCCCGAAAGCCCGGAAACCGCCCCCCTTCGCCCGCGCTCCGCCAACGCCCCTCGTCCCGCTGTGGCCCTGGCTCGCCCACAGCATGGACGTGGGGGAGTTTTTGTCCCCGTCGACGACTTGTCCGCTGGGTTGCGTGGAGACTATCATGCGCGGCAGCCCCAGCCATGGGGAGACGGTACTGTCAGCCACCCCTGGGGAGTCCCTACAGGCCCTCATCCCTCGGCTAGCCAAGGTGCGTGGTGCCATGCATGTGCACGATCATGAAGCGATGGTGGCCTGTGAGCGTACATGCTACATGTGTACTTAGCAGTCACACACACATGCGGTAACACGCGCTGTGTGCGAGACAGAAGGCGGGGTGCGCAGCTGCGTGTTGTGGATTGCACGGCCGCAGTGGTGCAGCCACTGTCCATGTTGACCATGCGCCGCGGCGCGCGCACGCACGCACACGCGCGCACACACACGCACACACATGCACACGCATACACGCACTGCGTGGCACTCACTCACTGCACACATCACTCACACAACATCCTGCCCCCACGCACACTCCCATCCAAACACACCCACGTCCACCCAACCGCCGGCCCCGCGCCAGGTGACCGGCCTCCCGGTCGTCGGCGCCACAGGCAAGGTGGTGGGCGTGATCTCGCGGAAAGACCTCATAAAGGTACGCCAGCAGGGCGGGTCCCTGCAGCAGAAGGTAAAGGCGCACATGACGTCACCCGCCATCACCATCACGCCGGACGCGCCGGTGGCGGACGCGGGGGCGCTCATGCTGAAGGAGAAGATCCGGCGGCTGCCAGTGGTGGACGCGGAGGGCAAGCCGCTGGGGTGAGCGGCGCGCGGGGCGTGTCGGCGCCGCTTTGGTGCGGGCGCCGAGGTGCTTTGGTGCGGGCGCGAGGAGGCCAACGAGGGCGTTGCTGCCGCCTTGCTGCTGCGGGCGCCAGGCGGCCGACGAGGACGCATGCAGCGCCTGGAAAGCAAGCCCGGCTGCAGCGGCGCGCGGCGTGCGGCTGCCGCGGTCGCTGCTGAGGCCGGCGGCGGCAGGTGCAGGGTCGCGCCCCCAACGCTCTCGACGTTGTGCCCTGACGCCCATCTGCTCTGTCTGCCACCCAATTCATGCATCCCGCCCTGCAGCATCGTGTCGCGCTCCGACATCTTCGCGCCGCTGATGATGGAGAAGTACAAGGCCTACCAGGACAAGGAGGTGGTGAGTAACCCCGTCACCCTGTCACCCCGTCACCCTGTCACCCTGGTGACGCTACACGCTGACGCAGCCGTCAGCACCGCCTTGCTGCCGACCAGCGCGGGTACTGCAGCGGGCCGGCTGGAATATGTCGTGCGACAATGCCTGAGCCACGGCCTGGTGTGTGCGATGCTTTGCCATGCTCCCCCCACACACACACTCTTACGACGAAACAGACCTTCACACACACACACACACACTTGCACACGCAAATCACCTGCCAATTTTCTGTCAAAGGCCGCGGTGGTGACTGGTGCTGGCATCACCATGACCTGGGACATCAAGTACTTGTATGACGGGGAGTGCAGCATGTGCCTCACGCTCAAGGTGACGGGAGCACACAGCAACAGTTTGTGGCGGCACCGTTAGCAGGCGGCATGCGCCAGCTGCACCAAAGCGGTTGAGCGTTGCGGGCAGAGGGAGGGGCCTGCGGCCAGCGAGGCATGCGAACAAAATGGATTGATCACACTGCTGACGGCTACACGCACAGCTTGGGCATGAAGCAGGCCCGCCCCACTCTGCCGCTTTGAAACTTGTATGTGCGTCTGCGTGGCTTCTGCCGTTGCCCATCCACCGATGGATGGCACCCTCTCATATCCGCCCTTGCCTGCCTGGCGCCACCTCCTCAATAATTTAATAGGGAGTCTTGGAGCGCCAGGACAAGAAGAAGCGCATCCGCTTTGTCGACATCGCAGACCTCGATTACGACCCGATGGCCAACATGGGCGTGGTGAGCCACTGCTTCGTCATCCTTTGTCTGTTTGTGCAACCCGACGGGCTGGCAGGGTGCCCAGCGTGACAGCACAGCCCACCTCCTGCCTTTGCGAGCGACGGCGTCTCCTTCCTGCACACCGCGCGTTCCCCCCTCCCGACGCGCGCTCGCAGCCCGCCGGGGGCACTGGTCATCTGCACCCCTCACGAGACCCCGCCGCCACCCAGCCGCGTCGCTCTGGCTAAGCGCCCCCAACTGCCCCCAACCATCCCAACCATCCCAACCGCCCCCAACTGCCCCCAACCGCCGCCAGGAGTTCGAGGACGCCATGGAGACCATCCACGCGATCCGCCCCGACGGCCGCGTGCTGCAGGGCACCGATGCCCTGCGCGGCCTCTTCGACGAGGTTGGCCTCGGCTGGGTCGTCACTGTCATGGAGCTGCCCCTGGTGGGTAAGCTGGTGGACCTGCTTTACGAGTTCCTCTCGAAAAACAGGATCAAGATCGGCGGCATGATGGACGCGCTGGTGGCGGCCAAGCGGGTGTCGATGTCGAAGGCGGGCGTGGAGGTGTGTGGCGACGTGGACGGCGGCTGCGAGATCGAGTGGGGGGAGATGAGCTTGGACGGGGAGGACCAGGTCACGCACGTGTGAGAGGGGCCGGTAGGGGCCGTGCGCGGCGCCGCAAGACGCGCGTGGGGGCTGCGGGCGGGTCTGCGGTGTGGCCGGCCTCGGCGGCGCAACCAGGGGCCCGCAGCGCTGCGCGGCGGCGCGTCCTGGTTTCATGCGGTCGTTTGCGTTGATGGCTCTCTGCTGGCGCGGCTGCCGCGCGGCGCCTGTTTGTGCGGCCGTGTGCGGCAGCGGGTCGCAGGCGTGAGGCGCCCGTGCTGCCGGGCCGATGGCGCCAGCCCCAGGCATTGATCGCGCGGCAGGTACAGCTCTGTCGCATGCGCACAACCCAGGTGTAGGGCTGCCCGTTGTGCATCCAAGCCTGGCTCCATTTGAAATTTGATGTGGGAGCGCGTTGGTTGTGACGTTACCGAATGGGCGTGCCTGCCGAACATGTGACGTCTGGTTTGTGATTGCCGTTGTTGGTGTTGTTGCGCGTTGTCGCTGCTGCTGCTGCCTGCTGCCTTCCTCCGTCACATGGCAGGGGGAGAGGGGCTAAACTCAGCGCCTCCGCCAAACTCCAGGCGCTTATTTCTGCAATTGCTATATGCAGCCGTTATGCCGCTGTGCGCCTCTGGTGGCTTGTCGCCGCCATCGAGCTGGCTGCTTAAATTAGGCCGCAGAGTCCCCCGCCGATCGCCCATGGCGGCGAGGCGGCAGGCTCCGCACGCGCACGCTCGTGCGGCTTGCGGTAGCCAACTGGCGCGTCGGCGGGCGTGGCTTGGGGGGGCATTCCCCCCCAGCGCGGTGCCCCCGCAGCGACCAAACAAGCTTCCTCGCCCGTTGCATTGCGGCCCAGCTCCATTTCGTGGCGTGCGGCGCCCCTGCTTGTGTGCCGCGGTGTTTTGGGTCCCCATCGCTTGCTGCCTGCTGGGGCCTTTTGGAACGTCAGGGCAGCGGTTTGATGGCCGTGCATCGGCGTCCCATTAGTGCCTGGCGGTGCCCATTCAAATCCTGCGGGCTTTGCCCAGTGCCAATCGTTCGAACGCCGCCATGGACTGTTCTTCATCTCACGCTGCACCGGTGTAAGGCGCTCTTGAAACTTTTACAAGCAGCCCTCCGAAGGGGGGCCTTCGCATGCGTGCAGCCGGTCCCCTGTTGCGGGGTGCGTGCGCCCTGCAGTTCGGCATGCACTCGCGCAATGTTGACCGGATCATTCATTTTTCAATTGACCACCGGGTCCGAGCTCAGCTGCCGCTTGCAAACGCGATTGTGCCACCTCGTTTATTAAATCACCACGGATGTCGCGGCTAGCCGTTAGACCTATTCGCCCACGCGGCGAGTAGAAACTGCTTGCGAGTAAAAAACTGGGATGGGCTCCTGCTGCTGCAAGCCGGCAAAGGTCGAAGATGAAGCAAATGCATCAGCAAATCAAGCTCATGCCAGCCAGCTCACAGTCCTCCGATGGCCGGCCGGCGCCGAGGTGGGGCGCGCGCGCGCCCGCTGCTTTGCCGTTGCGCGCGGCACCGCAACAGCCCTCTTGTGCCACACCAGTGGCCGCGGCCCCTGAAATCTTCACCTCATACAGATGACAACATGCGCAGCGACACGGCGCGCGCGAATGTGTGGAAACAGCTCCCGCTGACCTGCCGCCTTGCACTACGTAGGGGCCCGGTGCGGCAGGGGCGGCTGGGACGAGCGAGTCAGTGGAGAGGGTGTCCTCTGCGAGCGCCGTGAAGGTCGCGGTCGTCGTGCGGCCGCTGCTGCCCTTTGAGATCCAGGCTGGCGCCAAGGACGTGGTCAGCGTCGCGCCGCCCTCAAAGGTGCGCATGTTAGTCCTGCGAGGCGGCTGGGCACGGCGCCACGAACCCCCTGCGGGTCCTATGATATGGGGAGTGGCACGGGCGCCTTGCAGCGGCACAAAAAGCTCCTGCTGAAATGTGAGGACATTGCAGCATGACATTGAATTTGTTGGAGGGCTAGCCGCATGCCGGAGCAGCCGAGCAGCCGAGCAGCTGACCAGCCCAGCAGCCGCGCCGCAGCGCAGTCCCGCCCCCAGGTGGGCCCTCGAGCCGAGGCGCCCCACCGTTAACCCAAAGCCCTGCTGTGCCTTGCCCCAAACCCTCCAGATCTCCTTGCCGCAGCGCGCCACCAACGGCGGCGCCCCCGTTGACCAGCACGACTTCACGTTTGACCGCGTGTACAGGGCGGATGGGCCAGGTGCCAGCTCAAAGCTGAACGACGAGATGATCACAAACGGTGAGAAAAACAACGTATTATGGAGGCCGGCGAGCCTGTTGCCGAGTGGCGCTGTCGCAGTCACCTGGGTGGAAGACAGGGGATGGAGGTGCAAAGCTGTCAGGAAGATGGAACGCCGGCGGGGCGTGCGGCCGTTTGAGCACCCCGCGCGCAGCGCACCGCCCCCTCGGCCCGGGCGCCGGCCGCCATACATAGCAGCAAACGCTCGAAACCGCCTCCGCAGTGCTGGATTGCTTCTGCCAGGGCTTCAACGGCACGATCCTGGCGTACGGCCAGACGGGCTCAGGCAAGACATACACGATGGGCACCGCCGCGACTGCGAAGGAGCTCGCCGCGGCCGCAGCACGGGGCGGCACCGGCGGCGGCGGCGGCGCCGCGGTGGTGGGCGTCGTGCCGCGCGCGATCGCCCGGGTGTTCGAGTACGTCCAAAAGGCTGCGCCGCTCTACGACTGCGCGCTGACTGTGACGTACGTCGAGATTTATAACGAGCAGGTGCTGGACCTGCTGGCGGGTACAACGACGGCGACAGGCGCCGGCGCGGTGACGTCAGCGCACGTCACCGGCGGCGGTGCGGGCACTAGCGGCGGCGGCGGCGCGCAGCCGCCGAGCCAGGGCGGCGCGGGCGGATTCGGCGGTGGCGGCGGCGCGGTGGCGATCCGCGAGGGGCCCGAGGGGCAGATCATCCTGGAGGGCGCGACAGAGGCGCGGGTGCGCTCCAGGGAGGAGGTCGCGTCCCTGCTGGCACGCGGCAACGAGCGGCGCGCGGTGGGGTCCCACAAGCTGAACGAGGCGTCTTCCCGGTCTCACGCTGTGCTGGCGCTGGCGCTGGAGCAGCGGGCGCGGCCGGGGGCGGGGGTGCCGCGAGAGCTGCGATATCTCAGGTGGGCCGAGCGCCGCTTGGCGGTGGTTGGTGGCAGTTGGCGGCAGTTGGCGGCGGTTGGTGGCGGTTGGGATTGCCTGGTAGACAGCAGGTGGGGTGTCGCAGATCGTGGCAAGTGGCGGCTTTATTTGGTCGGTGGTGGTTGGGTATGTTTGGGTGGATGTTCGGAATGTGTTGCGCAGACTTGTGGGGACGAGATTAGCAGGCGGGCGGGGAGGGCAAATTCCAGTTGGGGGGCAGTTTCTTCTGGCGTGCAGTGTGTGTTCGCGGATGGTGGGGCGTGCTTCAAAACTCAAGTCAATCTGACGATTGGGCTGCTAGGTGGTGTAGCGCGCACCCCCGCCCGCGCTTATCCACATGTACGCACACCACAACGCACCCTTGGCTGTGTTTCAACAGGTCGAAGCTGGCGCTGGTGGATCTGGCCGGCAGCGAACGCGCCAAGCAGACCGGCACAACCGGTGCGGTGCCCCTCCGCCTTCTGCTCCAGCTGCACGAGTGGCGATCAGGGACAGGCGTGCGCAGTAGGGGGCGCAATGAGCAACAGGAGGTGCAAGGGCGGCAAGGGAGATGGTGCTGGGCCGCCGCCAGAACATTCCTAGTGGCAGAGCGACCGCAGTTTCGCTGGCATGCGCCGCTTTAAGAGCGTCTCTTGGCACCACCCTGCAGGCACGCGCTTCCAGGAGGGGGTGGCCATCAACAGCGGCCTCCTGGCGCTGGGCAATGTCATCACAGCCCTCAGCGAGCAGCAGCGCGGCAGGAGCGGCGGCGGCAAGGGCGGGGGAGGCGCCGCAGCCGCAGCAGCAGCAGCAGCCGCGCGACGGCACGTGCCTTACAGGGACAGCAAGCTGACCCGGCTGCTGCAGGACGGGCTGGGCGGCAATAGGTGAGGCACTGGGCGCAGAGGTGGAGGGGGCGCGAAATCGCAAGACGGGCACTGCAGCAGCTGAGGAGCGTCGGAAGGATCTCCTAGGGGCTGAGTTGCCGTGCCGGCCGGGCACTTGACCGCCTGATCGCTCTTCAGTGCTGCTCAACCGCCCCACAGGGGACGAATTTTGAGGTCTGGAGCCCGAGCAGCGGCATGCAGG